ATAGGTTATGAGTGTTCTTTTTTTTGCAATTTTCGACCAAGAACAAAAAAAATAATTGATGAACAAGAACTTGCAGATCAGAAGTTGAGGAAATTAAAATCAAATACAGACCAAAAATCTTTCGATCTACGAAAATCTGTGTAAAAAATTGTGTTCTTACCAACAGTTTGCCTGCTCGGACGCTTCTTGTCGGCTAATAGCTTTCTGGAGGCGCGGCCATGGCGGAAATCAAATAAACTAATCAAACCCCACATACAGCCTGACTGATCCTTCTCGTAACGAACCGTCACTCTTTTGGACTTCTTCGCCATTTTCTTAGAAGATTCCGTCCAAGATTTAATTCTCTAACATGGCTGCACGAACTCTGACGACGAGAATGAAGAAGAAGAAAACACCTTAGAAATGACTGGCTAAAGAATTTCTGGCTTTCCTTTTCCCGAGAAATTCACCGACAAGTTAACCTCGAGGACAGGCGCTTGGAAATCCAGAGTGGCGAAGAACAGGCATGGAATCCAGATGATCAATCGGGAGAAACACAGCCAAAATTCAATCACAACTTCTTGAGATGGCAAGGTATCAAATCCGAGCGTTATAACGTGCTCAGAAATTCAGCACAATCTTATGATATCGAGAGATTCGGAGTTAACTTGAAAGAAAAGACAACTGAGGGACCATTATCTTCTCCAAAATAAAGAAATCATGGTTGCAAATGGTTCATGATGGTTTTTCCTTAATTTCTTCTCATCAGAGGTCGATCAAAAGCATTAAAATCCAAATTCTCTGATTCAGTAACAATTTCACGATTTCTGGTTCAGTTCGATCAAACGCACCACAGTTCACAAATCGTCCTCTATCTCGAACTGATTCAAAGTCCTTCACAAAATTTTCTGAAAAACGATTATACTCTCCAAATCGAACTGAAATTGCTCGAAATCAAACCAAATTCACACGAGGCCAAAAGTTCTTCCAAATCCAACACACAAAGTCCAAAAAACATCACACTCCACTTTAAAACGAACACCCCCACCCCGCTCTCTCCATGTCCGAAAATTTCAGCAATTCCACAGACGGCACGAAGAACAAAAACAACCGCAAGACTTTCAAAATGTAGCCATCTCTGTTGACAACCAACCAAAAAGAGGAGCAGATGCTAATCTACCACCGACCCTTATCTTCACGCGTAGAATTCGCATATTGGCCGCCATTAAAGACGCGGAAGGAAAAAAAAAAAAAAAGGAAACAAGAAGAAGAGGAAAAATTGACAATGGTGAAGTGAGAGAGAAAAAGAAAGAAAGAGAAAGAAAAAGAAATGGTGATGGGTGGTGTTGGGTGAAAGCAGAAGGAATAGGTGAGAATTGAGGTTGGAAAAGGAGGGCCCACCACCCACAGCTAGCGAGCTTTCTATGGAAGAAAAGTTAAGGCCGCCATTGCCACGTTCAGATACATAATCAAGCTCAGCTCACCTCATCGCCATAGCCATTTCTCTCTCCTCTCTCTCTCTAGAAGCCATTGCAGCGAAGATCTGGACAAATGGATAGCTTGGGCCTCTGACTTGACATATTACAGTCTAATTCCTTATTAATAATATATTATTATAATAATAATAATTATTATGATCTTCTTCTTCTTACTATCCCCCACGATTTTATTTATTTATTATTTTCTTTTTTGATAAACCCACGATTTTAGATTTTATGTATTTATTTAATGAAAATGGAATTTTAGCAAATCAATAATTAATTGATTTTTTTTTTACTGATTATCTTCTAAATTTGTATTTTTTAATATATAATTCCACTTAAATTTTCTAAAATGAGTTAGAATGCAATTAATTTCAAAATCATTGACGGACAAATATTAATTTTAATAGCAGGCTATTCTAATTATCACATACTCCAACGTCACAAAAATAATTTAAATAAAATAAAACCATTAATTATTTAGATAATAGGTTTTAGAATGTTTTTATAAATACTAAAACTATTTTTAAAAAACAGGTATACTTGAAAGTGATATTTTGTAATTAAAAAAAAAAAAGAAAGTGATGTTTTGTTCATATATATATATAATACCATTCATGATAAAAGTTGGTTTATAAATTATAAATAATAAGTTGTTACGTAATAAAAGTTCATATTTATTTTTTAAATATAAAAATAACAACAATAAATAATAAATTATTACAAATTATTATTCAATTTAAAATTTAATAAAACTTGGTAACTAAATTGCTATATATTTTCAATGAGTATTTAATTACTGGCATGAAAAAGCTCAGTTTTTTTTGCTAATATATGTTAAATTAATTTCTTTAAATGTATTTTTTAATATAATAAAAGAAAAAAATAAAGAGCATGACCATATGGTGACGTGGCATAATATTCCAAAAAAAGGGGTCAAACTGATGAGATGTACTTATTTCATATTTTATGTAACAAAATTGTGACCTAAAATTTGACCTTAGAAAATGTGTCCCAATTTTAACCTCGACATATATATATATAATAATTATGACCTTAAAATAAATTAGAAAATTTGTACATATGAATAAAATTATGTTTACATATACTACGTGTATTTATACTTAAAATTGTAATGTTCGAATAAAAGAAGAGTATATCACATCCAAATGAGAGATATCACGAGAATATGATGGTTGTACCAACAATACAATGCAATTTCATTTTTGAAAACTTGATCGTAAAAACGTCAAACAAAACATGTTTGATTTGAAGCAATTTTAATAATTATCCTTAAAAAAACATGTTAGAAAGATGAATGTTGGTGAATTAAGGATGGTTGAAAAGACAAAAGAAAAAAAAAAGAAGTATGAAAATTGACTTTTATGTTAATGATTTATTGAATTTAGTGAAGAGGAAGCAATGGGATGGTTGAATTTGAAGCCAAATTTAGAGTAGGGATACTTTTAAGACATGAACTAACACCAATTTTTTTTCTTTATTATTTTTATTTTTATTATATATATTATTTTACTACATCTCTCCTCAATAAAATAATAATAATAATAATAATAATAATAATAAATTCAAATTAATAAAAATACCTTTCTCAATAATAATTGCATGCCTTGCTCATATATACCTTGCCTCCATCCTCAACTTTTTTTAATGTAAAAAATTATTATTATTATTATTATTATTATTGACCTTTTAAATTGATTCATATCAGAATTTTATAAAAAAATTTAATTGTTTAATTAAGAAAAGAAACCACAATAATTAACCCAAACACCAACTAGAGAGAGCTTAACGGGAATAATAATAATAATAATAATAATAACAAAAAGACAAGAGGGCCCCTCCACCCCAAGCACCAACAAGAAAGAGAGTAATTTGCATGCCAACAAAGGGGCAATGCTTCTCTTAACTTGTTGCTTCCTATAGAAGATAAGGAATCCCAACAAAAGTGAAAAATGGGAAAATTATGACGATGTTCGGTAACTTTTTTTTACAAAGAGAAATTACTTCTATCTATATCCTTTAATTACGGTTTCCGAGCTTAATTGCTTAAGGTATATATTATTCATTATCTTCGTAAATTTCATGAATTTGAATGATTTATCGACCAAAATATTATCTTAAAAGAAAAAAGAGTTCTCAAAATTATAATTTATCTTTTCTTATTTGGTAAGGGTCTAAGCACACTAGTAACAGATATTGTTCTCTTCGGACTTTCTCAACTTTCACTCAATGTTTTTTCAGATAGTCTTTTTTCGGTTTTTTTGATTTCCCATCGAGGCTTTCAAAACGTGTCTACTAGGGAGATGTTTTCGAGATGACTCAGCATCCTCGTTGGCACATTGTCTGATGTCTAGTTTTGATACAATTTGTAATAGCTTAAACCCATTGCTAGCAGATGTTGTCCACTTTTGATTTTTTTTTCGAGCTTTCTCAAGATTTTTAAAACGAGTCTCCTAAGGAAAAGTTTTTATTTTTAAAACGAATCTCCTAAAAAAAACTTTCTACGCCCGTATAATAATTGCTTGGTTCCCTTCTTCCGCAGAATTAACTCCTACACGAAAAAAAACCACAAATTCCAATATTCCATCATCTCCCCCAACAATTTTTTTTTTTTAAAAATCTCAATGAGATGGGACAATCAAGAAATGACAATTAATAATAAAGCAGGGAAGAAAATGATTAGCCATTCAAACCAAAGCATACGTCTCTAGCGTTTGATTAGTTAGTTAGTTGTGTCATGTTAGGTACAATGGAAGCATTAAACAGTTTTTTTTTTTTTTTTCCCCTTAATTTCTATCTCTTTTTTCTTTTCTTAAATAAATGAATTAAATAAATTAAGCTTTTAGTTTTTTTTATACCAAGCAAGACAACAATTATGTCACTGCAGCCGACACTCCGGCTTCAAATAATTCATATTAAATAACTCTCGTCATCCTTATTCCCTTATGCTCAAAAAAAAAAAAAAAAAAAAAAAA